CAGTAAATCAAATATACTGTACTATATATTTTTTATTTTATATATTATTTTATAAAATATTTTTTACTCAAAAATTTCTATAAAACCAAAGCCATACATCTTATCAAGTTATGTTCCAAATTTAAAGTAGATATCACAAAAATTGAAGTTCCCATGAGATTTTGTTTAGGCGTAGTACCAAAAATAGCCACCGGGTGCCATTGAATTCCATTGAATTTAGTTGTATACATTCTGCCTTAACAAATTAATACATTTCTGTCCAAATATCAATTCTGTCACAAAATTTGGAACCTTGAGACTCTGACCTTTCTGACAATATCAGTTTTGTCAAGATTAGAAAATTATGAAATATAATGATGCCCAAAAGGGGAGGAGCCTGATAAAATAAGTACCGTTTCTATGGTAACCCAATTTTCAATTATAAAACAGTTTTCACACGATGAATTCTGAGTTTATAAGCTTTCAAATGATACCTAATTTATGATAACTACTAAAATATGTGATATAATAAAAAAAGGCGATAAAACATAATATTATATTTTAGAGGATAATAAATATAAATATTATCATTTTTAGAGGATAATATTGTACTATAATTTTTTATTTTTTATTGAAAAATACTAGATTATATGTTTATTATGAACTTTTAGCATAAAAAACAGAAGTTTCAATGATTAAAAGTGGGTTCATCGACTTTTTGTGACAAAGGTCAAAACTCCTGTTATGATGCAGATTTTTTGAGGTGCACTCTTGTCATAAATTCATCAATTACTCTTCCTACATAATTTTTAACACAAAACAGGGGTAGAATATCTATTTAGAAGTCTTAGACCTTTCCAACAATATATAATTTGTCATAATTAGATTAGGATTTAATAGAAATAGTGAAGTCAAGTTAGGCGTCCCGGTACCGGGACGGTGACAGTTAAGGGGTTAATTGTTCAAACCAAAATACTGAGGTGTTGACTAAACATATACGTATGTGCATGACAAACATATTTTGCATAGCTAAAGACTAGGGGTGTAGCGATTTGAATACATGTATTTGTATTGAAACGTTGAGTATGAGGCTTTAGGTTTGGTTATCGGTATGCATTTTTAAACCAATCGATGCGCTGTTTTGTTTTATATGCTCCTAAGAAACGTCAAGGAAAACAATAATGTTAGTTTTAATAAAAATATAATTTAAAAAAATAAATCCTGGAATTTTTTCTGGAAAAAAATCTGTACAAATCAAAATGTAATTATTTATAATCAATCATTATTATGGCAATATATATATTTTTTGTCAATATGTTATGGCAAATCAGGCATACAGGATGACTGTTAGATTGATACTTACAACAACCAGATGGCAATCGACACTGAAAAAAAAAGAGTAGATATTTATTTTCATGGCATTGTAATCAGAGCCTTGACTTTGGATTTATACCATCTCAAAATGCACAAGGATTAAAAGAATGCTGAGTGCATTGAATCTGATGAGACACCAGCAGACTAACAGATAAGAGCCTTCTCAAGTCTCTGAAGCCTGCAGCCGTACTTCAGTGAAGCCCCTTCCACACAGAGATTATGGAAAATACACGGATAAAATGACCCGGGATTTGACCTGAGTCCATGTGATTTTGGTTCACGCTTGTGCATTTTTTTCTCTGATTTGATCAGAAACGCTGCCAAACGATCCACGAGCTGTGTGAAAGGGGCTTGAGTGTGTTTCTTTTCCTCTGTTGTTTCCATTTTCTCCTCCTGTCCCATTTCTCACAGGTTGTTCTGCCCTGGACATGCCATCAGTGGAGGAGGAAACAGGGGAAAGGAAGCATGAGAGAGAAAGACAGATGAGAGAGAGACATAGCAGAGCATGTGTTGCCCACTCAGAGCTGTAGAAATTGTGTTTTCATAGCTTTTGATTTTGAATTATGTGTTTTATTGATCAAGTTTGAGTCATTGATGATGTTTTTCTCTCCATCATTTTTCTTACTTTTAGTTGGTGTGTTTGGTTTCTTTTTTATTGTTATAAACTGGTTAGGTAGTGTTCTAGTGTAGAAACTGAATAATCAAATGTAAAATAAATTATGTAAAATGTAAAAAAACAGTATAAATTAAATATTAATCATCATTTACAAAAGGCTATAAGTTATTTAGTCAAGAGGAGCGTACGGCTCTTCTCATTCAGCACTGCGGGGAAAATATAATTTCCAGGTTCTAATTTGGCCTCAGAAAACCCAACCCGATCTCACGACCAAGTCGTACGAATTCGACGAATGATTAAAAAGTGGCTAATTCGTAACAATTCATACGACCTCACTTGTACGAATTAATACGATTTTGCTAAATCGTACATATTTTACGAATTGGCCAATTCGTACGAATGACCTACCCCTGACCACGCCCCTAAACTTAACCATCACGTGGGTTTAGACAAATCGTACGAATTAGTACAAGTGAGGTTGTACGAATTAGTACGAATTAGACACTTTTTAATCATGCGTCGAATTCGTACGAATTGGTTGTTGAGATAGTGTTGGAAAACCAGTAAAATATTTTTTTTTCATATTAATTTGTCAAATATTTTAAATGTTTAAAGAGGCAAAAAAAAAAAAAAATCAAACAAATATCTGAAAATTCGTCGATATAGCCTATATATAGCCTATATATTTTTGCGCAGCATTTGGCATAGGCCTACAGTTCAAATGAACATTTTGGTTTTCAACTTTGCGTTTTACAAAATACAACAACCGTTCATTTTTCATTTTGCAATTAGGCCAACGAATTAAATAAGGGGAAACGAATGAACACAAAATAGACAGACCGTTTGGACATAATACGAGGCTGAGTTCTTTTTTAAAATTCATAAAAGATACAAGGAATAGCCTACTAGACAAAACCTCAAAGAAATGCCACAATCAAGACCTCGGATCAGAAATGAGGGGGAACTCTGTCTCTTTTGGCTAACACGCACGTAATAAATAAATAATAATCTAATGCGGTGGCTGTGATAGACTCCAACGTCCGTTGCCATTATTTTTGGAATGACTTATCGCGAAAGAAAAAAAAGATGTTTTAGTCGCATAACATCGTTAATGGAAACGCTGTCATTTCACAATATTTTTGACATTCAGAAAAAACGCAAAAGTTTTGTGCAAATATGTATTGACGCCACTTAACCGAGCAAAAAGGTTTCGGTTATGCAATTTTAAACGGTTAATCGGTTAACCGGTTAAACATGGACACTAATATAAAGTGAAATGTGCATCTTGCTTCAGATCATAACGTTCCATAACACCGATAAACTCCGCCTTTTACCTTGAGCACGCCTCTAGCACGAGGTATTCGACGGGCCAGAAATCCTGGCCGTTGGCCCCGAGGAAGCCCCGATCAAGCCCCGGAAGTGACAGTGGAAACGCGACTGGCCCTGGCACGCACTAGCACGGCCGGCCCTGGCCCGGCAGTGGAAACATGGCTATTGTAACTGTAAGGAGGCGGCCTACGAACTCCTGAGTGAGTCTTGAAACTGACTTCTGCTGATGAAATGGCAAACTATGTTCAGTAAACATTTCTTTAATTTTTTTATAATTCTGACTCCGGGTCTTCATTCTTCATATCTGGTTCTGGGTCCTTAAACTGTTAACGCGTAACAACACGAAACGAGCGGTTTGTGTGAGAAAATGAACAGTATTTATATCGTTTTTACCTCTTGTAACCACAGCCACGTCCAAGTGATCTGAAGGCACGGGCGCTTCGGTCTGCACAAGCGCTGGAAGAGATCTCTTACGCGGTTGCGAAAAAAAATCAACGTTGTCTGTTGATAAATCGAAATCGTCTTCCATTGCAATTTCCTGTATATCTAAATATGTTTAGATCTTCACAGTAAAGGGTAACACAGAGTACTGGATGTGACTGTGATTACAAGAGGTAAGAATGATATAAATACTGTTCTTTTTCTCACACAAACCGTTCGTTTCGTGTCTTCGGCCATCAATGTGTACTTACATTTACGAGTCATCATGTTTAATTTGGACTTCTCTGCGCATGCTCTTTGAGGTGGACCCCAAATATCTCCATTATATGACTGACAGACAAGTTGGTTTGACCTAAAAATATCAAAATTGAAAATACTGTGGAAACAAAGACACCTGCATCTTGGATGCCCTTGAAGTAAGCTAAAACATATCAAAAATTCATTTCAAAGTGAACTATCCCTTTAATTAAGCATTTTGGGCATGAACATGTAAATAGTAAAACGATTGACATTGAAAAATGACACTGATTGATTACAATATTTAATCCAAATAAATAAATGTTTGTGTTTCCTACTGACGTTATCTGTTCTCACACATTTCAGCGTCGCAGTCATTAGTGTAGACGAACACTGACACCCTGTGGTGAAATAATGGCGTATTAACAGCAGCTTTCTCGGATTGGCTTGTTTTGGATTTGAACTTCATGTTCCGATGAGTTTTGAAAATTCTGCACACGGTAAACATCAGAATATCCCTTCTTATGTCAATAAAAAATTTCAAAATATAAAATCTTATTATAGACACTCATTTTAGTTGGCGTTTGTTCAACTCATTGACTGCAGTACATTGAAAGTAAACATAACCGAAAGTGGTATTGTTTCCACACGGAAGATCGTGAAGTTCAGTGCTAGCGGTCCATTATATTTTGCGTAATCTAGGATTTAAATAAATTTTCCACTTTTCCTGATATGTCACCAAATTATCTTAACACATTTTGAATGGTTGTTCTCTTAATAATCCTGTCAAACCCTAAATTATTCTGACTTTAAATAAAAAAAACATTGTTATAAAATAATACTAGAAATATTGCTTTTTTTATTATGAAGTGAAAGGACAAGGTGAGATGTTTTATGTAGAAACATTAGAATAGAAAACAATACATTTTCCCTGCTGTGAACAATGTAGGCAATGAGAAGAGTTCAGCTTCAGTCTCACGCGCATTCGAAAATGACGTCATAAAAGAAGTTGAGCGTTGTCATGGTTCTTTGTGTTGTGTTTGTCAGCTAGTTCAGCCTTGTGAAACAAACACATACAGTCAGTCTTCGTTGTTTGTTTTGCAGTTTATTTGATAAAGTTACCCAACTGGACAACTGTTATCATGGCACAGAACAAGAGAAAGCCCCTCGCTCAGTGTGACTGCCCATCAACATCCAGAACTGACGCACCGAGAAATGAGAGAAGTGCTGAGGGTAAGTTAATCAAATGACCAAAATCCATCAACACGACCACGCATTATACCATAATTAAACTTAATTTTTTTCTTTTAATTCCAAGACATGTCTTAAATATTAGGGGTGGGGGAAATCGATACAGCATAGTAACGTTAGGCCTATCGCGATATTTTCTGAGGCAATACTGTAAAATTATCTGTTTTACTTTACGATTTTCTTCATTGGTTTCTCTATTTTTCACTGCTTGAGAACATAGGTTGAATCCGAAATCGCCCCCTAAACAATCACTCACTAAGTTAGGCTTATTCCCTAATTAGTCCACTGTTCGCTTGAAGGAGTGAATGAAAACGAGTGAGTGAATCCGGACAGCCGTTGAGCGTCGTGGGCTAGTTACACGTTAATGAAGTCCAATGTAGGACAGAGACGCGATCTGACACGCGTCCCATTTTCTCACAAATGTTCATTTAAGACTTTATTTAAATCATTTTAGACAGCTCTTATGAGGACATTTGACAAACGGACGTTTTGGCATAATTTGTGTGTAATGATGTGCTCAAGCCCGAACACCGGTAACACCGACTATCTAGCAATCCTGGAGCTCAGCATTCATGTGAGAGGTCTCCTATTCAGAGAATAATTAGCAGCTACGTCCTGTCCTGTGTCCTGAATGTTCAAGAACAAGTTTTTGCACTTCAGTTGAAGATAATGTTTACAGAATTAAATGTGACATTTAATTGAAATGAGTTGAGCAGTCTTATTTTGCTTATTTTTTGTGATGTCTTTGAATAACATGGGGAAGATGAATCACAATATATTGCTTGTATGACAATATATATTGAGAATCGCAATAATATTGAATTGTGGCCCAAATATCACGATATCAAATCGTCACATAGTTGCCAATTCCCACCCCTATTAAATATCTAAACAAGTTTTGTAAAAAAACAAAACAAAACTACAATTGTACAATACAATTTGGTTTACTGCCATATCTCAAATATTACTCTCCCTGCTGTCCATGCTTGGCATTTCTTGTGAACTATAACCATTAATCTTTTAACAGACGACATTCTAAGCCGGTTTAAAATCGGCAGAATGCTTGGTGAGGGAGGATTCGGCAAGGTTTATAAAGGGAAGCGCTTGGCGGATGGTCTTGAGGTATAGTCACTTCTTACATTTATCAATTTAGCAAATTCTTTTTTTTCGTCTCACTATCCATTTCAAGTTCTTTTAGAGTATGTTATGTTCACTAGGCTATGTGGTGCAATTTACATGTTTGTAAATGTAATTGTAATGGGGTAAATGTTTTGTTTTGTTGATTAGGTGGCAGTGAAATATGTCAAAAAGTCAAAGAGCATGGAATACGTCAGAATTGTAAGTTTGATCATGAAAACAAAATTTTTCCAAAACTGGACAAACATTTTTTATTCTAAAATCTTTATAAAAATCCTCCAACCAACAATGATCTTTCTTCCAGCCTGGTCATCCTACACCCGTCCCATTAGAGGTCGGCCTGTTAAAATATGTTAATAGGGACCCCAAAGTTAAAGAGATCATTGAACTGCTGGACTGGCAGGACCAGCCTGACGGATATATCATGGTCTTGGAGCGTCCCCCACACTGCGAAGATGTGTTTAATTTTTGGGATAATCACAAACGCATTCTCTGTGAGGAAACGGCACGGACTATCATGGCGCAGGCAACAACGGCTGCTCAGACGTGCTGTGACCGAAGAGTTTTCCACAGCGACATCAAGTTACAAAACCTGCTGATCAACAAAAAAACACTTGAGGTCAAACTGATTGACTTCGGGTGCGGGAGATTCCTGAAAGAGTCCGCCTATTACGACTTCCGTGGTATGTATTATGAATCAAGGTTTGAAAAGAGTTTTTATTTTTTAAATTTAGATGAATATGTTCTCACTAAATATGTCGCCTCACGCCTGGTTTGGCCATGGATTGATCTCACTTTTAAAACTCCAGAATTGTGAATAAAAACAACTAAATTATTAATTTACTCTAATGGATACAGAATGTGTTGATACACGGGGCAACTTTTTTGAGCAATGTTGCAGAGCGATGTTCCTTGGGCGCTTTCTCATTGAGAATGGCCAACAAATTTCTATCTGGATACTTTAGATCGGTCATGGGCCCAGTATCTCACCTGGTTTCCTGTTAACGGCAACATTGCTCAATAAGTTGCCCCATGTATCGTCACCTAGAGAAAACATGCTAAGGGATTTCAAACTTAACCATCAGACAAATCTCTTTCTAGGCACAAGAAGGTACTGTCCACCTGAGTTCCACACAAGGGGCAAGTACCACGCTAAACCAGCTACTGTGTGGTCTCTGGGAATGCTCTTATTCGTAATGTTGTTTGGACGCTATCCAGAACCCGAAGACCATCTGATGATTAATGATGACATGTGGTCTGAGTGTCGCTTGTCAAAAGGTAAAATTGCATTCATTATAAAAAAGATGATCAATTATAATTTCAAATCACCAAAATAGAACAAATGAAACAAAGAAGTAACAGTAACACCAAAACCAGAAAGCTTCATAAAATATGGCTGTTACCAATTCCAGTTTTTTTTAACCGTACAGTATAGCGTAGTCTAATCTCACATCTTAATAGAAAAACAGCAGGTGTAAAGTTTAAGGTCTCTTCACAGATTGCCGCGACCTGATTCGACGCCTCCTGCGGGAAACCCCAAGTGAGCGGATTGGTTTGGAGGAAATCATTTCCCATAAATGGTTTAAGGTAATGACCCTAATAAGCTAGAAATTAATTTGGATTTAGAGGTGGAACTTGAAAAATTAGAATATCATGCAAAAGTTCATTTATTTCAGTAATTCAACTTAAAAGGTCAAACTAATATATGATAGAGAGACACATTACATGCAAAGTGTGATATTTCAAGCCTTTATTTGTTATAATTGTGCTGATTATGGCGTACAGTTATGAAAACCTTTTCACAATATTCTAACTGAATTTGGGGTTTCATCCATAATCATCACAATGATAACAAATAAAGGCTTGAAATGTCTCACTTTGCGTGTTATGAGTCTCTATGGCCTCGTTTACACTGCATGGTTCAAGTGACCCAAATCCGATTTTTTTCCTCTCATGTGGCACAGATCGGATATGACCTGTGAACGTGTAAGCAGGAAAAAACGCATGGATTCCGATTTTTCTCAGATCAGATTCAGGCCTCATTCATATGTGGTAATAAATTGGATATGAATCGGATACGTGCATTTACTTGTGCCATGTAAGCAGACAAATCGGATATTCCCCAGGAAATGCGAGACGTACGTCATTAAAAAGTGAGCGATTATAGGCGCGATGGTAGAAAGGATACACACAGTGGAGCAATGCGGAGGTTTCATGTCTTTTGAGTGTTTGGGGCGATGAGTGCAGGCAAAAATGCAGGGTTGTTACAGAAATAAATCTGTATTTGAAGACATTTCACGAGATAAATGAGGCATCGTTTTAAGTGCTCGCTACAGTGCCTCTCCTCTTATTCTCCGGCGTACGAGACCAATGTTTTGATGACTTTTCAAAATATTGTGGAAAGAAAAACACTGGATAATTTTATTCGCATCTGCATCCATTGAAATGTGTGCTGTTTTGCTTAATTTCCCGGGTCAGAACGTCTGCATTTGGTAGTTTCAGCAGTGTATAGTGTAAATGCAAAAATCGGATATGGGTCACTTTTAAAAGATGATGTAAGCGGGTTGTCAATAAAATCAGATATAGTCAGAAAATCGGATTTGGGCATCAAGACCTGCAGTGTAAATGCAGCCTATAACAAATTATTTTTACCCTCGCTCAGGTGTGCGACTCCCCCTCAACATCCAGAACCAACGCGGCTACTGCACCGAGAAATGAGAAAAGTGCTGAGGGTAAATCAAATGACCATTACAAATCCATCCACACCACCACACATTATAACATAATTAAACTTTAATTCCAAGACATGTCTTAAAGGGTTAGTTCACCCAAAAATGAAAATTCTGTCAGTATTTACTCACCCTCATGTTGTTTCAACCCCGTAAGACCTTCGTTCATCTTCGGAACACAAATTAAGATATTTAAGATATTAAGATCGCTCCTGCATACAGTCCATAGGCTTCTTGAGGTACTGGCTCTTGCTGTCCCCGAAAAGTCATTAAAGACATCGTTAAAATAGTCCAAGTGACTACAGGGGCTCAATCTTAAGTTTATCAAACGACGAGAACACTTTTGTGCGCAAAAAAACAACAAAAATAACGACGTTATTTCAACTATTCACTTCCTTCTCCATGAGCCGGTAAGTCAGTTAACGTAGTGTGATTGCGTAGAGCTACGTCACACGTAGGCTCACTATTGGCCGACGCTGGTCATGTGTGTGTGATGCGTGTGACGTACAATAACAGAAGCTTACGCTATTAAACTAGTAACCTGACTCGCGCAGAGGGATAAATAAACCAATAGTTGAAATAAAGTCGTTATTTTTGTTGTTTTTTTGCGCACAAAAGCGTTCTCGTCGTTTGATAAACTTAAGATTGAGCCCCTGTAGTCACTTGGACTATTTTAACGATGTCTTAAATGACTTTTCGAGGACAGCAAGAGCCAGTCCCTCAAGAAGCCTATGGACTGTATGCAGGAGCGATCTTAATATCTTAAATATCTTAATTTGTGTTCCGAAGATGAACGAAGGTCTTACGGGGTTGGAACAACATGAGGGTGAGTAAATACTGACAGAATTTTCATTTTTGGGTGAACTAACCCTTTAAATATCTAAACAAGTTTTTAAAAAAAAGAAAAAGAAACTACAATTGTACAATTCAATTGGTTTTACTGCCATATCTCAAATATTACTCTCTCTGCTGTCCATGCTTGATATTTCATGTCAACTATAACCATTAATCTTTTAACAGACGACATTCTGAGCCGGTTTAAAATCGGTGAAATCCTTGGTTTTGGAGAATTCTGCAAGGTTTATGAAGGGAAGCGCTTGGCGGATGGTCTTGAGGTATAGTCACTTCTTACGTTTATCAATTTAGCAAATTCTTTTTCGTCTCACTATCCATTTCAAGTCCTTTTATTGTATGTTATGTTCACTAGGCTATGTTTGTAAATGTAATTGTAATGGGCTAAATGTTTTGTTTTGTTGATCAGGTGGCAGTGAAAATTGTCAAAAAGTCAAAGAGCATGGAATACATCAAAATTGTAAGTTTGATCATGAAAACAACATTTTTCCAAAACTGGACAAACATATTTTAATCTAAAATCTTATAAAAATCCTCTAATCAACAATGATCTTTCTTCCAGCCTGGTCATCCTACACCCGTCCCATTAGAGGTCGGCCTGTTAAAATATGTTAATAGGGACCCCAAAGTTAAAGAGATCATTGAACTGCTGGACTGGCAGGATCAGCCTGACCAATATATCATGGTCTTGGAGCGTCCCCCACACTGCGAAGATGTGTTTGTTTTTTGGGATAATCGCAAACGCATTCTCTGTGAGGAAACGGCACGGACTATCATGGCGCAGGCAACAACGGCTGCTCAGACGTGCTGTGACCGAGGAGTTTTCCACGGCGACATCAAGTTACAAAACCTGCTGATCAACAAAAAAACACGTGAGGTCAAACTGATTGACTTCAGGTGCGGGAGATTCCTGAAAGAGTCCGCCTATGACGACTTCTGTGGTATGTATCGGCATGTTGTTAATGTTGTTATGTTGTTGTTAACGGCAACATTGCTCAATAAGTTGCCCCGTGTATCGTCACCTAGAGAAAACATGCTATGGGATTTCAAGCTTAACCAACAGACAAATCTCTTTCTAGGCACAAGAAGGTACTGTCCACCTGAGTTCGACAGATTGCAAAGGTACCACGGTAAACCAGCTACTGTGTGGTCTCTGGGAATGCTCTTATTCCACATGTTGTGTGGACGCTTACCAGAACCCAAAGACCATCTGAGGATTAAGGATAACACCTGGTCTATGTTTCACTTGTCCAATGGTAAAATTGCATTCATTATAAAAAAGATTATCAATTATAATTTTAAATCACCAAAATAGAACAAATGAAACAAAGAAGTAACAGTAACACCAAAACCAGAAAGCTTTAAAAAATATGGCTGTTACCAATTCCAGTTTTTTTTAACCGTACAGTATAGCGTAGTCTAATCTCACAGCTTAATAGAAAGACAGCAGGTGTAAAGTTTAAGGTCTCTTCACAGATTGCCGCGACCTGATTCGACGCCTCCTGCGGGAAAACCCAAGTGAGCGGATTGGTTTGGAGGAAATCATTTCCCATAAATGGTTTAAGGTAATGACCCTAATAAGCTAGAAATGAATTGGATTTACAGGTGGAACTCGAAAAATTTGAAAATCATGCAAAAGTTCATTTATTTCAGTAATTCAACTTAAAAGGTCAAACTAATATATGATAGAGAGACTCATAACATGCAGAGTGTGATATTTCAAGCCTTTATTTGTTATAATTGTGATGATTATGGCGTACAGCTATGAAACGCTGAATTTGGGGTTTCATCCATAATCATCACAATTATAACAAATAAAGGCTTGAAATGTCTCACTTTGCGTGTTATGAGTCTCTATACATATTAGTTTCACCTTTTAAGTTGAATTACGTAAATAAATGAACTTTTGCACAATGTTCTAATTTTTCGAGTTTCACCTGTATATTAATATTTGGAAGACACTTTTTTTTTGTCTATTTGTTTGATATGTTCTTAGTTTATTGTGAAACAGGAAAAGTCAAGGTCAAATCTCTTATATGTGTAATGTATGTTTATCATCAACCTGTTAGAAAGGGAAGCGATAGTCAGGAGAGACAGAAGAGGAGGAGTAGGTCGGAGCAGCAGCTGAGGTCAGGGTCAGAAAGTGGACGATCAGACCACTGCAGCCACTAGCGAGAGAAGTTTTCTGTTTATTAGAGCTCTGTACATCATTTTCAGAAAGATTAATGCAATCCCATATATACCTGGAAAACTGGCATGCCACCTGCCAATTAAATAATCCAAGAAAGTGAAAACATGTATTTCTGTTACTTTGAATAATGGCGAAAGGTGAAATGTATATTTTTCCTCTCCAATTTAATTTTTTCCCTAAAACAGTTGCTGTCAAAACCCAAATTTAATGGAGTGGAGAAGATCAAAACATGGACATACATGGCTGCTACGGGACTGAATGTGATCCCTGGACTGGATTACGCACAGGTACTCTGTTTCTCTGTCCAGGTCGTATCCAGATTGAGTCGACGCGGCTGAAAAGCATCAACCATTTGAGGAAAAATGAGATGCCGATGAGAAAGAGGACAAGGACGGGAAGTTTTGTGAAGCTGCCGTCTCTTCATTATCGCAGCTCAGACCAGACCACTGCACCGATAAATAAGAGAAGTGCTGAGGGTAAATCAAATGACAAATCCATGTGTTATATTTTAACAAAAGAATCACCATAATGGGTATGCAGTGTGTAATTATTATGTATTTCACACAGAACAGTTAGATATTGAGCTGACACTTTTTATCCAAAGCATCATTTATTTGAAACGTGAAATTCTCTATTGGACAGTGCCTGTGCTCTAGAGGATCATGGTCTTCAGGAACCTCTATCCAGTGGTCTTGAAGTCGTTCCTCCTGTAGATCCGCAGGTTCAAACCCCTTCAGCTCCAGTCCACCACAGTCCAGCACCAGATCACAGAGTGGACGTAAAAACTGAGGGTGAGTTTACTTCCATATCTCAAATATTACTCTCACTGCTGTCCATGCTTGACATTTCATGTCAAATATAACCATTAATCTTTTAACAGACAACATTCTCAGCTGGTTTAAAATCGGCAAAATGCTTGGTGTGGGAGGATTCGGCAAGGTTTATGAAGGGAAGCGCTTGGAGGATGGTCTTGAGGTATAGTCATTTCGTACATTTAGTAAATTCTTTTGCCTCACTATATCCATTTCAAGTCCTTTTATTGTATATAATGTTCACTATGTGGTGCAATTTACATGTTGTAATTGTAATGAGCTAAATGTTTTGTTGATCAGGTGGCAGTGAAATATGTCAAAAAGTCAAAGAACATGAAAACAACATTTTTCCAAAACTGGACAAAAATTTGTATTCTAAAGTCTTATAAAAATCCTCTAATCAACAATGATCTTTCTTCCAGCCTGGTCATCCTACACCCGTCCCATTAGAGGTCGGCCTGTTGTTAATAGGGGCCCCAAAGTTAAAGAGATCATTGAACTGCTGGACTGGCAATTATTTTTTCCCTAAAAATTTTACTATTTTTTTCTCAACAGTTGCTGTCAAAACCCAAATTTAATGGAGTAGAGAAGATCAAAACATGGACATACATGGCTGCTACGGGACTGAATGTGACCCCTGGACCGGATTACGCACAGGTACTCTGTTTCTCTGTCCAGGTCGTATCCAGATTGAGTCGACGCGGCTGAAAAGCATCAACCATTTGAGGAAAAATGAGATGCCGATGAGAAAGAGGACAAGGACGGGAAGTTTTGTGAAGCTGCCGTCTCTTCATTATCGCAGCTCAGACCAGACCACTGCACCGATAAATGAGAGAAGTGCTGAGGGTAAATCAAATCACCATTACAAATCCATCCACACCAACACGCATTATACCATAATTAAACTTAAGTTTTTTCTTTTAATTCCAAGACATGTCTTAAAAATTGTTACAACTGTTACAATAGTCATGTTACAATCAATGCTACAATAATCGTTACATCATAAGAAGAATGGCATCTATGCTAATTTTAGTGTCTTTGTTTATCCCTAGGTTTTCCCGCAGCCTGCCGGATCCAGGCCGTATCCAGATCTGGCGATGACCTTAGCCTGGACACGATGACAATGCAGTGCTAAAGTGCCAACTAGCCTCTCCCTATGGAGGATCCCTTTCCCACTCTACAGATTAAGCGATGTGAATTCGTTTCGCGTCCCTACCCTGAAGTGATTCGAAAATCTGTATCAAATTTATAAACAAGTAGTTTGTTCAGGCATGAGGGAATTTAAAAACCTGCGCGCATATATTCAAACGCACATAACTATTGAATCAATTCTTAATGCGCATGTGAACGTCATCAGCAGGGCTGTTTCTACCAATTTATCACAGGTTCGCGTTTAAAGTCATTCATCTAAAATTTCACGTTACAGTTACTGTAAATTTGGCCTCTAGTTCATAAACGCCAGAGGAGAACTGGCCCCCGACTGAGCCTGGGTTCTCTCAAGGTTTTTTTTTCCTCCATCGGGTCACCTGATGGAGTTTTTCAGTTCCTTGCCACTGTCGCCTTTGGCTTGCTCAGTTGGGGATATTCAAATCAATTATACTACAGGGCTGTTGAACGCTTGATTCTGATTGGTTGAGAACGTTCAATAGGTGTGCAATTATTTTCACGGCTAAAGTAGTTTCAGGCAAGTTACAGTTCCATATCACTGCGCGTAGTTAACGGAAAATAGGACAGAATTCATAACAAGAGAAGACATGCAGCCCCATGCGCTTGATCTGAAATTTTCGATGTCTAACTTCACAATCAATTGACACATACAGTTTAATTTTAATAAATAAAGTATAGTCCTATCTATAATAGGCTAAATAGAAAATTAAACTGAATAGGCTATAAAAAAATGAATAGTCCTGCTGCACGGATTTTCGTAATTATTCCAGATAATATAACAAATAAATAATTATTGATTGGCTTACTTGTAAAAAAGTGCTTTGTGTGTTTCATTTATTGGGTTATCTACTGTCAATTATAGAAAACAATAATGAACGAATTAATTAAAACGAAGTTAATAAATAAATAATAATATTGACGCATTTGCTTTTCTGTCTCATTATTTCAACGTCTCTCTCTCTCTCTCTCTCTAATAACTGCATTAATTTGTTCCTTCATCTGAATTAGTACAAATGTGTTAAACCTCCATAAGGTGTCTTTCTGGTACTGTTCAAGATTCAGTTTTAAATTAACAGGGCTATAGACCCCTTTTGCGCCGACGTCACAGCGCTGGCTGGAGGCAAAACAAAGTGAAAACTGGAGGCGGCCAATACAAAACAGCACAGATTCGGCTACATAATAAGGAGCTTAAATAATTGTTACTATTATTAAATGTCATCTTGTGGTGTTGTCTGGTGCAAGAATTGATGAAAAAATGAATAGGCTGTATCTGGAACTTTTATTTCTAGAAAATATTCACATCATTACAATCGCACTGTAATGTCACTCTTTACATTGTCGTGGTCTCGGCGCTGGCTCGGCAGAACTGCGGATCGTACACACAAGTCTTGTACCGGACCATATAGGCATCTAAAGATTTATATGCCCTCAGTTTCTATTTACGATTGGTTTCTCTATAACACTGATGATCAACTGGCGGCCCGCCAAGCCGTTCGATCCGGCCCACGACTGGATTCCAAACTTGTGAGGATCAAAGAGAAAATATGTAGGCCTATTCTACACTATTAAAGCAACTAAAAGCAGCAACAACTGAGTCTCTTCTCAGTAATCACCACCATTTATGACTCTATTTAGGCTACACCCCAAAATGAGGACACACTCGTTACACTGTTTTGTATTTATTGTTTCACACAGTTTTTTTTTTTAAAACATAACTTTTCCTCATGCCCTTACTTAACATTTGTTTTTCATTTCAAAGTCTCAACAACATGCTTGGAACTAGCAAACTCCTCAGGACTAAAAAAGGAGGAAAAAACGATCTGGCACAATTTAAAATAGCATGGTAAATAAATAGCCTGGAACCAGAACAAAACAGGTCACAAATATTGTTCGCACAGCAAATAAAACGTTAAGTGGGCTATAGCGAAATCAAATCACAAGGCTGAAATGGACTACTATAACATTAATTAATCAATGGCTGAAGTTACATTTCCCCTCTAACTTTTTCACATCAGGCTTGGCCGCTGTCAGACTTATGCACAAACAGTCCTCCAAAGACTGGGTTGACAGACGGTTCCTCTCGTGCGTTTTAATCGAGTTCATCTTGGAGAACGCAGTCTCACAGGTGTAGGTTGAACTGAACATGGTGAGCACATACATAGCCAGCGTCTTCAATGTGCCATAGACCTCCAAGATCTCCTCCAAGGGACAAGATATCCAAAACGCGCTCAGGTTTGCAGCACCACTGAGAGCAGCCTTCATGTCGCCTGCGGCCTGAATTTCAGCCAGCTCGCTCTGAATGGCTGCCTCGTCCAACTGCAGCATTTTCACCGCGTTTGTGGAGAATTCTCCGCTTGGGGTGATGGTGAATCACCCCAAGATTCACCCCAAGGTCACGCACAAATCCAATGACATCCCTGGAAATAAAAATGTCATCAAATCTAGCAGAGAAGTTGTCTTTTAATTGTGTGATAAATATTTTCATCTTGTCTATTACGTTGCCTTCTCCCACCGTCTTCAGTGTGTTGAAGTGCAGCAGCCTCCCTGACAACAAATCTGCGTGGAACAGATCGAGTTTGTTCCCAAAGGCTTCAAGTTTTTCCACCAAATCCACCACTGATTTTTCTTTTCCTTGCAGCTGTAGATTAAGTGTATTTAAATGGGAGAAAATGACTGTTAAAAATGCAACGTTGCACATGTATCCCATGTGTGCAAGATGCGGAGATGGTCAGCTGCCGCTTTGGACTTACTTTGTTTTGAAAAATCCACTACTTGGGCACGGAGTTCTACGAAGTGCTCCAGTGTTTTGCCCTTACTCAGCCAGCGCACGTCATTGTGGAGTAACAGGTCATCATACGAATTTGCGGAACAGCGGTGCTGCGTGCTTGAAGTTCCTCTGATGTGGTTAATAATTTTCATTGTTTTTCCCATCACCTCTTTGAGCTCTTTTTAGCTTTGCGCACAGCACACTTTGATGAATGATGGGGGCAAGTTCCTCCAGAACGGTGATCATGCACTCCTTTAAAACCTCACTTTCAGTGAAAGGCCGGTTATGTCTGCAAAGCAGCCTGCAGGGATGCACACGTTACTCTCTCTTGATCAGTTAAAGTTCGAGTAATAATGCTACTTGCGTGGGAGTAGGCAGATGTCAGTGTGGCGATTTTTCTCTGACGCGCCTCTGACTGCTCAGGATATGAAATCTTAAAATTTGAATGTTTAGTGTGGTGGTGACGGCGCAGATTGTATTCTTTTGCAACAGCAACAGTTTCATTGCAAATTAGGCATACTGGTGAGGCATTCCGGAAGGTTGGCATGATAAATGTGTACTTTTCAGTCCAGTCATCATTGAAGGACCTGTTTTCAATATCAACTTTGCGTTTCATAGCCTTTGAGAGTGCCATTTTACCTCTGTTAAGAGACCCTTTCCTGTCACTTCCTCTGTGTTTGTTTTTCAAGTGCTCTATAAGTAAAATTGACTTAATTGAGTTGAGGCAAAATATCTATCACCCCTGGTGGTTGTCTGTGTGATAGGAACCTGACTCATAAAGGCCTTCAGTTTTGTAATGAAATGGGAAAAGTATTAACAATAAACATCAATCATAATGTTATACCAAAATTAGATTTTTTATTTAATTTTTATTTAAGGGTCCGGCCCCCAAGGAGACTGTCTGGTAAAATTCTGGCCCTCTGACAAATATAGTTGATGACCCCTGCTCTATAAGGTAGGTGTAGAAGTCAGGCCACTCAACCGAGGTAACGTACGTTAATCCTGTCAGATCCATGCATTGAGTGAGCGTGTAGGCGGAACAAGGCCAATCTGGTTCCGTCTGTTAAAAATAACTTTTGGAAATAACAATCGCGGTCCTGGACACCGAGTGACCTTACACATTAAGATAATATCGGATTTTCTCCACTCATTGTTAAAAACAAGCTAACAATCCTTGCTAACTAGCGTTAGTGAAGCGGCCAGAGGGATTTTTCTGCCTCCACCTAAGCTCCGCCCACATAAAAACGTCACCGTGTTTACCAACTGTAAAGGGGTCTATGGTCTGAAAGGTCCATGCTCCCCACGTCACAGCCAACTACCGTATTTAGATCTTGAGAAAAAGTAAAAAAAAAAAAATCAATCCTCGAATACGGCAAGTGTGGATTTGAACAAAAAGTGAAGTCTCTCTTTAACCCGATTGCTCTCATAGACAAATTCATTTTTTTTTTGTTTATCAAATTGGGCTGGACTGTGTGTGTATTTGAGGCGTCCAGTTTGGGATTAAGTCTAATGTTGAGATCCCCCCCCAAATTAGAACCCCCTGGGTCTCTGCTGTTAGATATATGAGTTTGCATACACCTTCTGGTGCTACTTGGACACGTCATCAGTAAAGTACCCGGGGTCATAGGGTGTTTCGGGTCTTTAATCTCTATACACCCTCACCCGGGCGACCCAGACCCAAAAAATACAGCATTTTAGCACATAATTCAAAATGGCCAACAGCCAAAATGGCCGATCTGGGAAAATTGGATATCGGCATGACGCCCTGAATCTAACGAGACCATGTTTATGATTTTTGAAAAAACTATTCAGAAGTTATGAGCAAAAACAGTCATTTTTCATATCTCCGGGCCAGTAGGTGGCGCTGCGCCGAAACGCAGCATGTAGCCTCAGGTCATGCTTATGACAACATGGACCAAATTTGGTCTAAATAAGTAAAAGCGTTGCAGAGATACAGCCTTATGTCTGTTTTTGCAAGCGTTACGTAAAATTAATTTGAGCGGTATTCGACAATGGTTAAGCGAATCGACTTTCCATAACTTTTTGTCAGCACAGCCTGGATATGATCTGGTGCAATTTTGGTGAAAATCGGAGAAACCGTCTAGGACGAGTTCGCAAAAGTATGTTTTTTGAACAATACAAAATGGCGGCCATTGTTGATGACGAAAAATGACATCATTGGATGTCAATCAAATCCTCATGAGCTCAGGAATCAGAGGAAAAAAGAATTTTGTTAATAGGCCTTATGGTTCAAAAGTTATTAACATAGAATTTTGGAAATTTTGGACAGGTGGTGGCGCTAGATGGATTGAGTTGGAGACTCCAAATTTGCTATGAAGACTTTTCAGACTGTCCTCTATCAGTCCCGCAAGCGGTTCTATGGGCTGCCATAGACTCCCAGAGCGGAAGAAGAAGAAATATAGCTGCAAGCAGCAATTACCGAGGCCAAGCACAATCAGACGACAAAACTTCCAACATGTATAAGACCAACTGCAGCAAGGAGCAATTGAAGACATTTAAAGATGAATTGAGGCAAAATGGCTGAAAAAACCCATACAATTAACTAAAATTGTGATTAAATGGATTATCACTTTTGACCAACAGGTGGCGCTGTCTCAAAACCATTTGAGTACCTTCAGGGCATGCTGCTTATGGCACGCACTGAGTTTTGTAATGTTAGACCAAAGCATTTGTTTAGTATAGCATTTTATTTCACAAAGCTGTATTGAAGTCAATGGGAATTTCATGTTTTGTTCTATTATAGCGCCACCAGGAGGCTCAGTCCCAGAATTTTTTTTATGTGAGCCCATACATATGTGTCAATTTTGGTGCAAATATCTCAATTCACTTCAGAGTTATAGACATTTACATGAAAAAACACGTAAAAAATGACAGACACATGACTTTGTTTGAATTTTACCACCCCTTACTATCAATATTTTCGCATTTGGGCATTGGCATTTTGCTATTGACCTATGTTCCTGTTTTTCTGACGGTGGTTTCGTCTCGATCGGAACAGCGGTTTCGAAGATATCGCCAAATGTTTTCGTGCTAAATCGCTACACTACACCAACCGTAAGACAAAACCCAGCATGTTTGGTATCGTTGGACTCGGGAACGATTCAGGAACTCAAAAAGATGACTCTTTTTTAAATT